TACTCTGAGTGATGATGATATTTTAGGAGTAGTCGAGGGGTATAATCAACTCTTATTATTATCATCATACAGTAGCAGCTTTCCTTTATCGTGGAATGCGTTAGTCGTCGTGTATTTCGGAATGAATATGAAGTGATTGACCACGTGATCCAGTTGTTCGACTACGTAAAGATTGTCTTCAGTAGCATGCTCGTTGGTTGAGGTTATTGGCAGCTACCGGGTACCAGGTTAGTTAATGTACATACCCTGAGTTGCTACGTATATGCTAATCATCATTTGTTGTGGTATATGCAATGCTAGATAGCCCCCTATGAAATAGTCTCGATCGTGTTTGCCGGGATATGGTATGTGATGAGAGAGCAGTATTTGTTAAGCTCTCTTAACCATGAGTTGTCTCTTAGTTTCTAATATAATTTCAATGCTCTTAATAATTCCGACTGCTATCAAGAAGGTAGAGGGGGGGAGAGGGGAGGGTTTAATACAACCACACCAAAGCCTGAAGGAAGTTGTTGCTGATGGGGGTGGGACCATAATCATCATCATCATCAATGATTGATGATTCATCATCATTCATGAAGTATATATGCTTTCCCCTATCATAATTCACCATTCATTCATAGTGAATATAACTTCTCATTGTAAATCTATTTTACAATAATTTTTCATAATCCTTACGACAGTTGAATATTTTCTCAAGGTAGTACCATCGTGGTACATCGAATTGTCCATTCGTGGCGATGTTCTATCAAAAATGCTTGGTCGTGATGACGCCGTGTAAGAAAATCGGTCGCGGGTTCAAATCCCAGCAGTCTCGTTTTGTTAGTTATCCAAGCCGCCTCATCAGCAGCTATACAACAAGGAACGTATAATGTGTTCGGAAAGCAATTAGATCGTTGGTGAGACGAAGTGACGACTGATAATGTCGATCTGACATCACCGTCATGTTGGCTCTTAGCAGTCACAACGCCTCATGATATCGACGTTGTGATTGTCAGGAGGTATGAATCGCATCTTATTCGGGTCTGTTGTTTTAGCCGTGGGATCACACGGCTTGGATCAGATAATTGGATAATACAGAGTCAACTACCACTGCACGAATCAATGATCAGTGATGATTTGAGCTCAGTTTGTGATGAGTCAACATGTAAGGCTTACGTCATTGACTTCATGTCGTAGTTTCTTTTTAACTCATCAATGTCATCGAACATCGAAGAAGATAGTCAAATCCTGAGTGAGTCCAATGAGCTTAGTCGGACGAGAAGGTGATTCCTGGGTGTGCTGCTTAGCGTTCTTTTCCTCAGGTACTTCGTTCGCTGAGGCGGCGCAATTCAGTCGCGAGTTTTTACGAGCTGCATCGGTTGAGTACCCTTCCGTGCCCCTCGACGAGTTGAGCGCTTTCGCGCTCGCCTGTTGGGAGCATAAGCGAGACAATACTGAAGCGAGTGACTCCGCTACACTTCGCTTAAGTATCGAAGGACGGAAGTCTTCGACGAGCCCTCCCCCGTAAGTCTACGTGGATGGGTCAAATCGAATGCTGCGACAGTTTTTTATGACATTGCCGGAGGGAAATTTAAAAGCTTTGTAACGCTAAAAGCTAATTCAAGAGCTAAAAATAGTAGAATAACATTGA